ATCTTGATAAATCCGGCCCTATTATGGTGTTTTCGTTATCTGCAGTTCAAACTGATAAATTTGAATAATAAAAAAAGTATTTTAAAATAGTAATTAGAAACCTATCTGATCCCTCTATATTTCTTCAAAAGTCATGAATCCAATGAGTCATCATTTTGGGTTCGAGTCAGGTTCAAAAATGTTTGTATGTAGTACAGTATTAACCCATAAATCTCATATCAGATAGACTTTAAATCACATAACTGGTCTTAAACACCAGATCAAAGCCGGATGTTATTTCACTTTTTGGACTTCAAATTAGCAAACAAAGTGAAGAAAGTGACTCACAACTGTCATGTATTAGTAAAATGCATTTGATGAATTTTCCAAAGACTCATTCAACATCTGACCAAAAAAAAACCTTTCAGTTGCATTAGCCTAATATGTAGTTTAACTTGAAATCATTTGAAATGGTTTATTGTATTTTACCTTCAGCTTCTCTGGGGGACCAGTGTCCTGAAGGGTCGCATGGTCTTGGTGATGAAGAGTTAGAGGCGTACTGCAGTAGAACTCTCCCTTCAGTGCATTTATCACACACTGATCCCACTTCTCTAGGAAACCAACAACCAAGAACAACAACCAACTTAGATACAGATCGAAAAAATATAAAACAGAATGCATACAAATAAAGTAATACAAGTCACCAAGAGACTATATTTAGAAGTTTTGGTCTCTATAAACTATACTATCTAAATGCAGTGTCACCCTCTAAAATCAAGTCAAAGGTTTATTTATGTAACCTTTATGAATCCCAACATCTATTTGTGATATTGTGAGCAGTAGTTTGTTTCACCTGTCGTAAAACTGTCCAGAAATTGGTGGAAACCATTCCAGGGTGAAAGAGTTGTGATGTTGCTCAACTACTCGAGGTGCCATCACCACTGGAGGAGGTTTGTAGGTTGGTTGCCATGTCTGGTAGATGAGGTCCAAGTAGCAGTGCATCCTAGCCATCTGGTTTAATGTGAATGAATTTGTACAAGCATCATCTGTGGGTTAAATAGTAGACTCATGAAGGTAAGATTGGGGACTGTTGCATTTGTGTTTTTTTTTACAGAACAACAGCTGTGAATGCTGGATAACATGTGTGAAAGTATTTGTAACATTTCAACTTCACATTTTGGCACCTTACAACTAGAACTCTTAATTTCTTGTATTGGTTTTTTCATGCAATCCAAAAACAAAAAAGGAGCACATAATTATGAAGCAAGAGGGAAATTAAATGTGATTTTCAACTACTCAATTTGTCGCAATCTTTATAAATAGAAATCTGAATTGAATATTGAACATTTGTATACAGCCCCCTTTACCTCTAAATATATTCCATTAGAACAGATTGGTTCATGTCATCTGATTAGTAAGTGAAATTTACATTTCTCTTATATGCTTCCAATACAGATGTTCTTTGAATTTTTCAGAGGATAGCAAAAAGATCAAACAAACATCATCCTGAAAACCAAGGTTTAACTAAAACAGTTCAGGATCTAAAGTTTAGAGAAGAGACTTTACTAAGACTGGGGAGAATTTCCACCCTACAGTAAGAGAGCAACTTTGACGTGGCACATAGGGGAAATGTTCGCTTAGATGGGCTAAGTTCAAATTAAGGCTAGATTGTTCTTTGTAAAAAAAAAGAAAAGCCATATACGGAAGCCAAGAGCGGCCGTGTACCTCCAATAATTTGTCACAGTGGTTTTCTCGAGAAAACGAGTTGATAATTTTCTCATTAGAAAGCTGTTTTCTCGTGGTAACGAGATGATGTGTGTGTGTAAAAGTGATTACATCCTTCAATATCACAACAACAGGAGATTATTTATGAGTATAAGTCATGGCAGGCTATGTGTAATTCTGTAAATAATCATGTGTTTAACTTTAGGGTAACAAGATGACGTTGTCGGTTTGATGATTTGCTTCCACTTCTGATTTACAAGCAATAAGACCTACGCCTAAGCTATGTTTTGTTAACAGCCCTGGTGTTACGTCTTTAACCGGTATAAGATGCATTAAACCCCAAAATGAATCCAGATTAAAGAGTTTCATCAAAAAACAGTCAGATTTGTTTCTATTGTATTCCATGCAATCCTATCACCCACCACGACCTGACAATATGAGTATGTGTGCACACGCCGTACCGCAACTGCAAAACTAGGGGCAACGGCAGGCATGGATGGACTGGGAATCCAGGGCTGTTAGCCAGGCCTATTCATTACTCATACAGGTTAATCTTCTCGTTATCTCCAGAAATCAATAACTGTTTTCTTTAAAATAATGAGATAATTATCTTGTAATCTCGTGAAAACAATTAGTGGTTTAATAGTGATAATGAGATAGTTATGTCCTTATCTCGAGACGGCAAAGGAGAAAAAAAAAGTCCAGTATGACCGCTTTCGGTTTCCGTAGCCATATATTCTTTTCTTCTCACGATATAATTTTTGCACCACTTTCTGTTGCTATATTACAGGAAATACAAATAAACTATATATACATTGAGAAAATGTGTACAGGTTAGCTGTATGGATACATTTTAAGATACTACATCAAATCATTTTGATCTGATCCCCGATTTCAAAAGAAGATGGTACAGTAGAAGCAAGATAAAAAAACAACACAAAACCAGCATGGAAGTAATTGTTTTGTAAAAGCAAAAGTTTTAGAAACTGATTTTTTTTTTTTTAAACAGAAAGAAAAAGAAAGGTAATAAATCATTTTAAAGGCCCATATGATTAAAGAGAGCCACGTGTTTGTATTTAGCAGTATAGCTTTTCCAAGGATTAGGGAAAAAAATGACTCTGGTATAATTCAAGAAAGAATAATGTTTTTCCCTGCTGTTGAGTTATTTCAGTGTTTTTGTTTTGTTTTTTAAAAACTAAATTTAGCATTTTGCTTAATATGTACATATACTTCAGAAATTCTGCTAATTCTCCTGTGGTAATCCTTTTCAAGTGAACTCTAAATTTTGCACCTGTAAGAAGTTTGAATCCATAAGACTCATAAACTCACCTGTGTAGCTCATGTAATTGTTAAACGGGGTGTGTGTGAAGTGCTGATGGCCACAGGTTTCATTGCCTGGTTCGGGATCATTGCACTCTTTGTACTTTGGGGTGGGGTTAGTGTCTGCACAGAGGTCTCCAGTCTCCATCGAGGGCTCGGTTTCCAAACAGACATCATTGCAGGAGTCAATCTCTGATATGCCCCGAAACACATGGTATAATCCAAGGGTATGTCCAATCTCGTGGACCATTGTGTCGGTGTGACCAAATGTTCCATAAAAAGAGGGATTGAGCACCATTCCTCCTATGAAAGAAAAAAAAATTTATGCATAAAACAAGTGCATATTGTTTGTTTTGTAAAACTGGGTTTTACAAAGAGTCAGACAGCACATTGCTGATGGGGTCCCACAGTTTCGACAACAAAGGGGATCTATTCTACTGACTTCTACCTCACCTTCTTCCATATTAGAGATGTGATGGAGATAAATGCTACTTGTGGTTTTGACTGTTTTACTGTTTAAAACTAACTGTTTTACTGTGTGAAACTTAACAATTTAGGAAGTACATGGGATGTCTGAATGTATATAATGTATTTAAAATTTCAATTGGGAGGTGTAATACTGCATGAATGTGTGTCTGTGCTTTTGCTTATTTTCTACCCAAATATGTAAGGGCCTCTTTGTCCCAGGGCCAAGTGGCAACCCCTGCCAGGTCTTCATCAGAAGAATTGGCAAAGAAGACATTCAGGTGAGTTGAACCATCCAAGTGTAGAATCTCTTTCAGCTCTTTCATATCCAAAAAGGCTCTGGAAAATAAAGGAGAAAAAAAAGACAATTTAACTTAAACTAAATAGTTCTAGAGGCAAAAATGTTTTTTCTAGGACTGAAATGTTTCCTAAGGCTTTAGTGGAATTAAACACAAAGCAAAAAGGAAATATACATAATTATTTAAAAAAAACACTTCAAACAGTTCTCTGCTGATCTGAACAAAAGGTAAAAAATAAATATAAATCAACATTAGTGATTCAAGCCCGCTTAAAACTATAAGCTTTGACTGAGAGCAAGTAATATAGAACGTTTCTCCTCATCAGCATCAGAAGATATATGTTCCTATGTTCCCTTTTTTATGCAATTTAGATTATTTAATTTATTTGGCATTAAATCACTACAAAAAATTTTATTCAGTTTATATCAAGCCATTGCATTCTAATACATAAAAACTTAATGCATAAAAACTCAATGCAGAGACAAAGTGAAATTAGATTCTGCAACCAATTGCAGTTCTACATCTGTACTCTTCGGGACCAAACTCTACCTTTTAAGGCGTCTTTGTTTGAGTTGTGAGTCTTATCTCCAGAAATTTTGAATGAAAAGGACAAAGCCACTTATAGTTCTGCCCCAAACTCCACTGAAACTTGATGCACACTGGCTGACATGTAAAAACGTTGACGACAAACATAAAATAAAAGGTAAGCCATAACACATGGTTAGCTTGTGTAAAAAACCTCCAGTATTAGGAAGAAGTAGCACCCTGTTTGTTCAATTTCTCAGAGAGCTGCTGACCACAACTAATGATATTTTCTGACAGAGGAAGGAATACTGTGAGGATATCCTAAACACAGCAGCCACACCTTCCATGGTCAAAGCAGAGACTGGAAGCTCAGTCTTGTTCAAGGTGGTAATAAATTTCCATGGTGGCAAGGTTTCAGGAGCGAATAAGATCTGCCCCGAGTACGTTTGGACTGGATGTTGTTGGGTTATTGTTGCTGATATCCCTCTTTAACATCACATAGCAGAGCGAGATGGTGGTTCCCCTTCCTAAACAAGGGAACCAGAGGTTGTGTTCCAATTGCAAGGGGGATCACACTTCCCAGCTTCATTGGGAAGGCATCTGCTGAAGTGTTGTTGAACCTCGGCTTCACGAGGAGAAGTATAGTTTTGTCCCAACTCTGAATCACTGGACCAGCCCTACACCCTCTGCAGGGCGCTTGAGGGCTCATGGGAGTTTGCCCCACTGGTCCAAAGGTATTTTGTGTACCCGTAGAAGGAATTCATCTTCATCCCTCATGGTGGTCTGTGAGGGCGGTCCAGGAATATAGAGGTGGGGGGTTCTTTACAAGGGGCCATCTGGTCCCTGCATTATTGGAGCAAGAGTTCGGTCAGTAGTTTGCCAACTAGCCAGGCCATTCCCTGGGCATATTAGCTTCCAGCAGGGCTGCCATCTCTCACCAGTCCTGTTCAGAATCTGTATTGATAGCATATCTAGCAGCCAAAGGCCGAAGTGGGTCTAGTTTGGTTACCAGCAGATTTTGTCCCTACTTTTTACAGATGATATGGTTCTGCTGGCTTCCTCCTGCCATGACCTACAGCACGTGCCAGGTTGGTTCACAGAGGAACGAGAAGCAGCCAGGATGAGGATCAGCTCCTCCAAGTTTGAGGCCATGGTTCTTGACCACCATATCACATTTCTGTTCTTTCTTCACCTTTAATGCTCTTTTTGTAACTTTTATTGGCAAACCCTAAATGTAAATGTTGTATCTATGTCAACAACCTCTACATTTATATCTTAATCATTTTAAAACAAAATCTTTATCTTCTATTTAAATCTAACTCTTTAATATAATATCTTATTCTTAAATCTTAATATATATATGTATATATATATATATATATATATACATATATATATATATTTTATCTTAAATCTAATCGGAATCTCTCTATTTATCTTAAATATATATCTTAGATATAAATATAAATCTTAAACCTATTCTAAATGTTAAATCTATATAAGCCCCTTTAAAAGATCAATTCACGGCCACACATCTAGGCCTTCAAAATGCCAATGGAAAGAGGATGTAAGATATACATTTAATAATTACATATAAATATAACATTTATGTATAGGTATAGGCTGTAGAAATAGACTTAACATATACATTTATTTATAGATTTGATTATATTTTGTGTTTTATCTAAAAAATGTTAGAAAGAAACATAGTCAATGTGAAGAAAGATGGCTAATTAATAAATAAATACTGACTTTTTATATAAAAAAATGTTCATTTGGCTTTGCTATACATAAACACACTACGGTGTAAGTGAAGTGAAAAAATATATATATAAAAAAAAAAGAAATAGAGAGCTAAAGCATAGATAAATATAAAGGACCCAAATTGGCAGGCTAGTTCAAACAGAAACCTTTTGTGGTGGTTATGAATTAGGGATGTCCCGATACAACTTTTTCACATCCCGATACATGACCAATATTGCTGATGGACCAAGGCCGATATTGACCCAATATAATAAGCAGGAATCAGACATACTTTTAATACTTTTTGTGTAGTTTGGATGCTATATTACAAAAGGCTTGATGAAGTAACATCACCTGAACAGAGAACCACAGTCCTTAAAAATGCATAATAGATTCCACAAAGCAATAGTATTGTTTTGTGTGATGTATTATTACTTCCTCTATACTATACTTTGTTCTATTGCAGCTATTTCCTTTTATTTTCCCTTAATTTTCAGTGTAGCATCTCAAGATTTTTTTTATTTTTTTTTGTATTCTGAAAGCACCTCAGAGCAGCCTGACTCATAAAAGTCACCCGAGACTTCAATTATTGTTCAGGTAGTCTAATGCCTTCCTGTTCATGACCTAATGTTTAGAGTAAGGCCTGGAGAATAGTAAGGGTAACGGTAATGATTGCAATCACTCAACATAATGAGATCTTCACAGCAGTGAAACTGTCATTCATTTTGTGAGCATATTTTTTCCGAGTCTGGCTCGTAGTCCTGGTAAACAGAGTCAACAAAATCAGTCTTCTTGCAAGAGCCTGGAAATCTGTTGCTTATGCTGTGATATTGATAGTTTATTTTAGGACACACATCTAGTGGATAAAGATAGATGACCAAAAGGAAAACATAACAAATCGGCCACAAAGTCACATAATAGATATATTCTTCAAATGTTTTGACCTAGTTTGGATGACCCACTTGCCTGCCTTTTCATTTTGTGCTTATATTTTACCTGACCTCATAAGATTTTCTTCATCAAGGAATAACTAGTTTCTACAAAAAAAGAGCAGAACTAGTTATTTCATCCACCCTACCTCTTTAGAAATGTCTGCTCATTTTGATAAAACAATAGACAACTTAAAAGACAAACATGTTAACACTGAGACAGAATTTCAAGTAAATTTTTATCAACACATTGCTAAGACAGGGAATACAGCAGCAATAACTGGAAGAATGTAACTTACTGACAACATAAAATAAATGTTGTTTTGCAAAAACATTTTCTTCGCCTCATTTTTTTTTTTTTTTTGCCTTATTGTTTTTACCTTAGTTCTAATCTTGCATTAATGTTAGAACATAGACATATTTTTACTGCAACATGTTTTGTGCAATGCAGCACATAATCTGTACCAGTGGATGTTGATTTTTTCTTTAACTCTATATCACTCCATTTCTTTTAAGTGAACTCAAGTAAATACAGGATAAAAGGGTATTTTCAATGACTCATACCTTCTGTGAACCAAGTTAATCTTGGAATGCGCTCTTTATATTTACTCCTGCTCTTAATGGCTGACTAGAAAAAAAAGATTTTTATGAGTTGTTACTGCAATAAGGTTTTAAGTTATTGAATATTTTTTTTTTTTATTTAAGTGTGGATTTTACAAAGTTTTATACCACTTCTGTGATGACATAAAGACGAGAGATGAGGTTTGACAGCTTGTAACTCTAGTACTTTAGAAAAAAGTTAATTTTTCTAGTATTTTTTTTACATTAATTTGAACTCTGTTACTATTGTTTAATAATTGAAAAAAAAAAAAAAACAGCATTAGACACCAATACATTTTTTTTTCAAAATCAACTCAGTTTGAACTAAGACAAGGGGAAATGAAGTATAAACCACCTCCATCCAGAAAAAATATTATCTGAACAATACAGACATTAAACTAAAAGTCTTCAAATAAATACATATTGCTATTCACTAAAATCCACCCTTTGAGTGGATTGGAAAAGTGTTTATTTGGATAATTAGTTCCTAAATAAATAACTACAGTAATCATTACTAATAATTGACTTCATTGATGGGAACACAGGACCTGGGAGAACAATTAAATTTTAATGAGGATGCTGCATTTGGGACTGCTCACTTTTTTCAGTAAACACATTTACTACTCATAAAACCTCACATGGCGGTTTTAAAACAGCAAGAACCCGGAGAAAAAAAGAGATGACTTAATTCCATCTGGTATTCAATCTGTCCCACTTTGTTTGCCGATTTCCTTATTGCAGTGAAAACAATTGCCATTTGATTCTGTTAGAACATTAAAACTGTCTAATATTATGGTCTGGCACAGTGTATGTTTGCCTTATAAATGGGCGCACACACCTAAAACTTGACCTTTAAGATACATTTAACTGTTTTCCCCAAAGCCCTCTAAAATTCTTGAGCTGCTGTATCAGATTTTGCCCAAAAAACCTCATAGGAATATTTTCTTTTTTCCCCCCAATTTATTGTAAATAAGGTTGTTTTATAAAAACCTAATGTTGTCAAAACATCTTTTTCAGACAAGGCAAAAAGCAACAATATTTTTGTAGTTCTATAATATTGTTGTGTCCTAAAATGATTTATTACTGTGAAGATTAGTTTTATTTTTGGATAATTTTCTTTTCTAGAATTTCAAATAGGGTTAAAGAAAGCTTTGTAAGTGACTCAATAAAGAAAATGTAGACATGCCCTAAGAAAAGTGAATGTACCATGTTGCATTTGTATGAAAGACATTATTTAGCTCAC